GTGTGTGTGTGTGTGTGTGTGTGTGTGTGTGTGTGTGTGTGTGTGTGTGTGTGTATATGTATATATATATATATTTTTTTTTTCGGAATTTTCAGAAAAGTCCCCTTTCATCTCTGTTTGTGTAAGGTCTTGATCTGGCTCTGCAGATCTTTGGTGAAATCGCAGCTTTCCTGGCTCGATGATTCTTCAGGACTAGGGCTGGAATGACTGCCCCCTGACAGTAATTCCTCTTCCATTCGTCTTTGAGCTGCTCCTATGGCTTTTTTCTAAAGGGCAGACAATTTATTTGTTTATTATTATTCCGGGATGAATAATCCAATACACAAATGATACATAATGTGACAAATCTAGATGACCTGTTTTGGATATCTACTGCCAGCGTCTTTGTTACTGGCACGAAAATATTCTTCACCAAAGTCCAGGCGTTTTCCTTTTCTCATTCTGTTCGGTATATCCCCACTGAATTCTGGCACTTGTAGCTCTCGCTCAGCAGCTCTCAGTGTAGCCTTCTCTTTCGACATGAATTTAGAAGGATATATTGAAGATCGAACTTGACTTCTAATACTGCAGAACAAATAATTATATGCCAATTTTACACCGCAAAATAGTCAAATATTGGATACACATTTTAATAAGTGAAACTATCTTTCCCGCTGTACTTAATACATAAAAAAAGCAACTTATAGGAAATAAGCGAAAAGCCAAGTTTGAGAGTGTGTAAGACAGACTTACCTGCTAAACTGTACAATTACAGCCTATTCGACGGGCCATCCATTCGCTGGTTTCTTGGCGTTTGTCGTTCGACATTCAACCAGATATTTCATGTCAGTAGCGGCCGCTGCGTCAAAGTCAATTATCCAGCTAACTGGAACGATGCTGGCTTTATCTTTGTCAGGCCCTTTGGCCCAACTAACAAAGGCAAACCTAAATTTTGACATTTTCACTAAAGACAATGTTTCACTTCCTTCTCCTTGTCTGATTATGGCGCCCAAATAAATAAATCGAGATGAAGCTGTAACGCTCCTTTTCCGCGCCTCGACGAATCGACGTGTTCACCATAGCGCGGGCGCCAAATACAGCGCTATGATTGGCTGGTTGGTTTGGGATGACTGTTATGCGCATGCGCTATCGACGCAAAGCATTCTGGTAAAAGTAGTTTTGATGTAATTTAGTCATTTCAAATCACAACGTGCCAACGAAAGGGAGCTAGTGCCATTTCATGGCGATTAGGGTCAAACAAACGTAGAAAATGGACCGATTTCGACTGAAAAGGAAACATATCCTCCGGGTGCTGATAATATGGATATTCCAAGAAGAAAATGTATGATCATTGATCTGCCAAAATATGCAAGCCTCTATGCATGCATACCTCCAAGATCCAGTGTGGAGGATTGAAAATATATGGCAAAGTACATGCCAATTTTGTAGACTCCCAAAATAAATTGTATTTCTGTAATACTATTTTTTATCATCATTGTATTTTCTTCAAAGGATACACTACTTTATACACTAATTGTGTTTATTTGAGCATGAGAACACTAGACATGGAACAATAAAAGGAACAAATGCATTTCAAAACATTTATGTTTACTAATGAAACTCATGTGGGGGTAGGATGAAGTCTATCCTACTATCAGATTATGTAATTAAAATATATATATGATTATACTTGCTATATGTTGTAAAATATAAAGACAGACTATTATATGTGAAAAATATAGTGCCCTTTTTGGTCTCAATTGCAACACTTTTTAAATATATTTATCGATATATACACATATATGGTCTATGTCAGGGGTGCCCAAACTTTTTGGACCGAAGATCGACTTTTCGTTCAACCAACCTCCTGGGATCGCCCCTTACCATGCACGTGCACACGCATGCAAGCGCGCATGCACACGCAAGCACGCGCGCCATGACGAGAAGCCAAACACGAAAGCAAGCGATGCACTTTTGCAGCCTGTTGACTATCGTAGCTCACACGTACCGTTTTAAAGTGCTTCACTCAGCCATCTAGATTCCTATTCTTTGCCCATGCCCTCGGTGAATTGTACACGAAGCAAACTCTGAATGAGAATAATGACGATCAAAGATATAGCGCAACAGCTCTGATCACAAGCTACAATTGCAGACTGCTGAGCGCTAACAACTTCCGCTGACGTAGGTCACGCGCCACCGTAGGTTAAAGATTTACCTGCTTTATTTTATTTTATTTTTAAAATATTTTTTGGGGAAAAATGAGACTGATAGGATGATTAGGGCATGCAGGGTACATTAACACAAAAATATATTACTAACATGTACAAAGACACACAAATGGTTTTTTTTTTTCTCCTCAACACCTTTCGGATCTAATTGGGACAAGTCCTAGATCTACCGGTCGATCAGGATCGACGTAATGGGCATCCTTGGTCTATGCATATATTGAAGTATGTTAGAAAATTATAAATACAAAATCTCATATATGACAATATATTATTTAATGTATTGCAATGTATTTCTTCCAATATATTGCAATACATTTTTCTTTCGTAAGGGGCAGCCTCTAGCAGAGCCATCGCTCGAGCTGCCATTGAGGTATCCAACACTGCCACCACACGAAAGTACTTTGTAACATCCTCTGTTATTCCCCTCATCTGGAACTGGGCCTTGATGTGCTGAAACCAAGCTGTGGGTTGTGTTGCCAAAAATCGACCAAGTTGTCTGTGGAGGTTTAGATTGCTTGCGTTGAAATCCGTCATTTTTACTCTTGTCGGGGTCACCATTTGTTGAGATGAGGTTAATGATGAAACAAGGAGGTGAAGCCAAGTCATGTCTCTTTTACTCTCTACACCACAGGTGTCAAACTCAAGGCCCGGGAGCCAGATCTGGCCCGCTACATAGTTCTCTGTGGCCCGCCCAAAGCAAATGTGCATCAAACGTCATGTTTCTTGCTCAATACTAACAATGCAAATGGTCTTCACTTTTAAAAATGTTGAAATATCGCAAGAATTTTTTGCTTCCAATCCCTCTTTTAAACTAAATTTAACATCAGAAAACATTTTAAAATGAATTTAACATTATTACTCGTCCTCGATTTCAAAACTAGTCTGTCATAGATTTGTTGCGTGTTTAATCTGAAACAACCATACTTTTATTTTGACCTCACACTATGAACTTCAGTCAGAATTCACTTCATTTTTGGGACCTCATGTCACTGTCCTGTACCATACTTTTTGAGAACCATCCACAAGTACAAATATTTTACATAATGAATGTCGAAATGGTTTGACCAGCTTTAGACAAAAACTATCTTGCAGTGTTAAAATTTGTGTTTCAGATCCATCAAGCCATCCTATTGCTGCAGGCACCAGCTCAGTGTCCATTTGTTCCCCGTCAATCAGTGCTGTTCCGCTTCCTGCTTTCAGTGGTCCACCTTCCATCTTTCCTCCTCCGCCGTCTTCACTTGCCGGCCCCTTTAACACCAATACATCCGTCTCTGTGCCTCCCCTGGGCTCTTCCACCGGACCACCTTCCTTTTCTTCCGGTGCACCTCCTGTTGGGCCTCCTATTTCTAATTTTTCCATGAGCGCAGGATATGACATCACACGGGGTCATGCTGGTCGAGCACCACAGACACCGCTGATGCCAACTTTTTCCAGCCCAACCTCAATTCCAGGTAATGTGTGCAAGAGCATACTCAATATCAAAGTCTGTTGAGCCAGTAGATGATGTCATGGCTTTCCCTTCATATCCAGGTGTACTTTCTAACCCTATGGTTCAGCAACCTGCCATGACTGGGGGTTTAGATGCCAGATCCCCAATCACTTTCCCTGAGGAGCAGGAGGATCCCAGAGTATCTGCGGACAACGGTGGCAATGGAGGTTTATGGGGCTTTTTCAAGGTTAATCTGGAGTCATGTTTTGGCTTTTTTTCCGCCCGTTTGCTGAAAAAGACTCACAGAAATTGAATAACTGTAAACAGAATATCAAAGGCATTGTTAAATTGTGCTGACGTTTGAGTTTTTTCTTGTTTCGGTATTTGTTTACTCACTGTCAGTGTTGTTTTAAATGTTACCGTATTGGCCCCAATATAAGACGGTGTTTTTTGCATTGAAATAAGACCGAAAAAGTGGGGGTCGTCTTATATTCGGGGTCTAGACATTATACCCATTCACGACGCTAGATGGCGCCAGATATCATTGAAGCGAATGCTGAACTTGACTCCTCAGGCCAAAGCGAACCCCTGTCACAAAGAATAAAAATAAAAATAGCGGTAGTACGAAGAAGAAAAATAAAAAATAGTGGTAAGAAAGAAAAGAGAAGAAAGTAATAGGAGATAACAGAAAATAGAGAAACGTAGCGACTATCTGGAGAAAAGTGGGTCGAAGATCGGCCAGGTTAACTGGCAGCTGAGAAGTTATGTATGTAATGTTATGTATGTAAGTTATGTAATTTACATTTCAAAAACCAGAAGTCATTCATTTACGAATGTGATTGCACTTTAGTTTACATATTTAAATGTTCACATATTAAGATTTGAATGAGGCAAAATAACATGCTTTTTCTCTCAAATATATTGTTATAATCATTTGTTTCAGATGTACTGTAATTATTTTCTGTATAAAAATTTATTTGGTGTTCAAAAAGTCTTTTTTCAAACTTAAGTCTTGAAAAAGAGGGGTTCGTCTTATAATCAGGGCCGTCTTATATTCGGGCCAATACGGTAATTTTACTATTTTACTTGTGATCAGTAGCAGATTGGGGAAAACATGTTTTTTTTCTGTCCAGTAAATTTAGATATTAATGAATACTGTATATTTTAGTGGTTCAGTGGATAGGTGGCCTGGTGGTACAGTGGTTAGCGCGTCAACCTCACAGTGTAGAGGTACAGGGTTCAATTCCAGCTCGGCCTTCCTGTGTGGAGTTTGCATGTTCTCCCTGGGCCTGCGTGGGTTTTCTCCAATTACTCCGGTTTCCTCCCACATTCCAAAAACATGCTTGGCAGGCTGCTTGAACACTCTAAATTGTCCGTAGGTGTGAGTGAGATGGTTGTTAGTCTCTGTCCGGTCCCTGCGATTGGCTGGTGACCGGTTCAGGGTGTCCCCCACCTACTGCCCGAAGACAGCTGGGATTGGGATAGGCTCCAGCACCCCGCGACCTTTGTGAGGATAAGTGGATCGGAAAATGGATGGATGGGTTCAGTGGCTCCTCAGTCAACCACCATCTGCTCTGGGTTTGCTGGTCATTTGTGATATATATTTTGAAAATATGTTTGCCCACATTCGAAATAATGGAAATAGAAAAAATCATCTCACGCTCACGTCATCGTAAAATCTTAAATGTACATTTCATACTTTTGTGTTGACTTAGCCCTGATGCTTATTGACCAATCTAGTCAGGGCAGGCAAATATTTCTCACCCAATGACACAAGCACAAGTGTCCCAACTGACTCACCAATGCAGTCTTTTATTTTGGTGAAGCACTCCTTCAGGGTCAGGTTCTTGTCAGGCTTCAGAGCGATTCATCTCTGTTTCTGTGCAAATTCAGAAGACTATTTCTCCAGAAGTTTTACATTTCATGGGCTCCAGAATTTACAGATTTCACTTGCCTTTTAAACAATAGCGAATGTTGCCCCCTCTTTGCCCATTAATGTTGTGACAATACTGTTCTTTGTTTTCTCTGTAGGGCGTCGCTGGGAACCCTGTTGTTAAAACAGTCCTGGATAAGACCAAACATTCTGTAGAGTCGATGATTACCACTCTGGATCCTGGCATGGCTCCATATATCAGTAAGCCTCTCTTATCAGAATTACACAAAAAAGATACCTTTAAGTGTCACAAAACAGCCAATGATAGTCATAGTAAAATTGCATATTTTCCTTGATGAACAAGGAGGTTGACATGCCACAAAATCTTAGCCTTGTTTTCTTGCATATAAAAACAGGTTTTAGATCAACTGATGACAATTAAGTTTAAAGTGTGTGTCCTTTCTCCACAGAGTCCGGAGGGGACATTGACATTGTTGTGACATCGGATAAAGAGATGAATGTTGACGCAGTCCGGGATGCTTTTCAGGAGGTTTTTGGAATGGCTATGGTGACAGGGGAAATTGGCCCTTCCAACATTGCCCCACAGCCTGTGGGTTATGCGGCGGGGCTCAAGGTCTGTTCACTCAGTTTTAAAAAAAATAAATATGTGTTGGTCTGTCGGTATTTCCCCCTTTGTGATAGAATTTTTTTTTTTTAACCCTTAAATATTTCTGATCATGCAAGTCTTAACCCTTTCAGGGACAGCGGTTACTACAGTGGACAGCTTATCATGTGATCAGTTTACAGGGTGCATGAAAGGGTTAATACCTCACAAAGGCAACTATGGTAAATACTCTCTCTCTCTCTCTCTCTCTCTCTCTCTCTCTCTCTCTCTCTCTCTCTCTCTCTCTCTTTACTTATATATTTATATACATACATACATACATATATGGTTTGAAACCTTTGTGTGTGATAGATATGCAAAAAAAAAAGGAAGAGGGAAAACACTTTTTCACTGCACTGTATTTGTTTGCGTAATCAGTGTAGACCACAAAACACGCGTCAGTATGTTTGACCGGACATGTCGCGAGCCTGTCAGTGTTCCAACTCCCAATAATGTTGACATGAAATATTGGGGAAGGGGGGTGGTAAACAAAAGGTGCTCTCCTCTCAATTGTGTATTCAATCCAGATGTAAATACCTGGAAATAATAGCTGAAATATTGATCACTTTGCTTGGAGTCACCTTCGATATCAAACTGAAATGTGTTTAGTCTACACTGCAGGGGTGTCAAACTCATTTTTGTCGCGGGCCACATTGTAATTAACGTTTGCCTTGGAGGGCCGATTATGAATTTTGGGAAACCACATAAATGTTTAATCACCTCCACATATTACATACACAGTGTCCAACAAATAACTAGTTTTAAAATCAGAAGTCAAGAATAATGACTGTTGTTGTGGATTACATTTGACAAATTGAAATTTTGGTTCAGACTTCAGCAAGCATCATGGAACTTGACATGCTTGATTTGCTTTCGTGGGCCACATAAAATGATGTGGCGGGCCAGATCTGGCCTTGTCTTTGACACCTGTGGTCTTCAGGTAAAATCAAGGAATTGACTCCATTGTTCCAAAACTTTTGGAGGGGGATGGACGTCCCCACATCAATAGTATGGTTGCCTCAGGGCAAAGAGGTTCCAAACCTGGGACCATGTAAATAACCTTTTGATCCACCTTTCTTTCTTGTGTGATGCAGGGGGCTCAGGAGCGCATTGATAGTTTGAGAAGATCGGGTGTGATCCACGAGAAGCAGCCAGTGGTCTCAATGGAAAAATTTATTGCTGAGCTCTTTCCTGACAAGTAAGACACTCCTATGAAGATAAATTTTGTACAGCCACTCACACACTCTCGAGTTGTGATGACATGTTTGTAAAGAAGTTCAGTTCGCTTTTTAAAACTATAAACCAAGGCCAAAAGATTTCAAGATTGCATTGTAACTCTTGTCTGGGGAGGGTATGCAAATCATCACGGAGGAACTTGACATGGGTTAGGGGTCTTTGTTGGAGGAAGGTTGCGAGGTGGGATGGCTCACCAGTTTCTACTGGTGTGCCCAGGCTTTTGCTTGGGCAGCAGGTGTTTCTATCACCTATCAATGATGCTGCCGCTCCTCCAACATGAGACTGGGTGCGGCCCTGTGTTGCTGCAATCTTTTGTGCTTGGTCATTAGCTGACTCGTTTGCTTCAGCAACAGCCGGTATCATCGCTTGGGGCTTCTGTAGGACGGACTCGATCCTCTTCCAGCGGATCTGTGATGGTAAACTGTGTGTTGGTTCCATGACTGGCAGATTGTACGAGCAGAACCCAAATGCAGTACACCAGACCACCACAATTATTGGTTATGACTTTTAATGTCAGATGTGACAGCCCAAAGAAAAACTCACAATATAGTGTTTGGAAACTGATTCTACAGAATGGCACTTAGTGGTCATAGCAACAATTAACTCTGCAAATTCTATTTTTCAGAGAATCACTCAGAACAAAATGATTTCTTGATGATCATTTATTTGAATAGTCAAATGATCCCCCCGCCCCTCTACATACAGAGACCCGCACTTGGGTTCGTACCAAAATTAGTCTCAATGTAGAAAAATTTCACTACTTGAAAATGCTGGTTTTGTCTTCAGGTGGTTTGACATCGGCTGTTTGATCCTGGAGGACCCTGATCATAACACCCGAGTGGAGGTCTTCACACAGGCAACCCCTCTGGCTCTCGAACATGTCCAGCAGGTACACATAATTACCTCAACACATCACTGCAAATGGATAAGTGAATGACAAATGTGTCATTATTTAGGATAAGAGGATAATTGCTATGGAAGGTGGATGATTGGCTATGTAGTTACGATAGAATACAGTAAACCCCGACCATCACAGGAGTTATGTTCCAGGAAATCCGCGATATGGAATTGCCCTGTGTAAATTCTCCCTAGGCATGTTTTTTTTCTTTCGTATTTATGGCATTTTTTTTTTTTTTTTTTTACTATTGTTTTTTTAGATCTATAAATACACTTTAAAATCGCCCATTTGCATAAATATTGTAGTGTTGAGTGGCTCTCAGAAAGTGTGGTGCAGCTGTGAGACATGAGAGCTCAAAAATAAGCATGTTCAAAAGCATGCCAAAATGATATGTGCTTTAAATCAAACCTTCCTGCAGTATGCGCTGAATAAATATATTTCACTGGCCCTCGTGGTCGATTCCATTTTGTCATATTGGAGCACATGGTACCTGAGCACTCGGGTAAAAACAAATAAATATATATGTTTACATTTGAACACCTTCACTGGCTTCATGCAAAGATATTCAGTTGGAAAAACTCATACAAATTACCAATTGTACATAGAAAATAAAAGAATGGTCAACTATGGCCGTCATGTTAGAGTCGTTACTTTCGAGGCACAATAGACACCATCAAATGATCACTGTCGCCGTAGCACAATATGTAATGCCTGCTGCTGAATTGCGTGGCGTTGAAATTCTGCCAACGCACCTGCGAGATTTAACCAGAGAAATAGTGAGTGTAACGAGCATGAAATAATTTATCAATCTATTTAATGTGTGTTACCAAGACAAAGGAACCCACTCTAGACACGGCACTTTACGGAACTTTTAAAATACTACGTCCAAGAAATCTGAATATTGATCCATATATATCTCCCTCAGGATGTAGCTTGAAGCACGACACAAAGTCCATAAAAATACAGGGTCTATTCATTGACAAGCCATGCAAACTGCTCACAAACACGGAAATGAAACATATAAATACAAATGGATTTACAAAACAATAAATGAAAGACAAACAATATGAAGACAATTGGTTCAACAAAAAGCCACACAAACCTTGTGGGCTCACATCCACAAGGGGCTAAATATCCTTAGAAGTCTTGCTTGTCTCCTTCCTTCATTTAGTCCAGGGGTCGGCAACCCAAAGTGTTCAAAGAGCCATATTGGACCAAAAAAAAACCAAATATGTCTGGAGCCGCAAAAAATTAAAAGCCTTATCATGAACTCAACACATGTATCTATCTTTGTTAGCGATATTAGCCTACTATAAACATGACTAAGTTGGCTACAAATACACAAGCATTCGTGATTAAATGTTTTTTTTTTCCGCTGCAGTTCATCCTATAGAGCAGGGGCCCCCAACCTTTTTTGCCCCACGGACCGGTGTATGTCAGACAATATTTTCAGGGACCCGCATTTCAGGTGTGGCGGAAATAATACAACGAAATAATATGGTATGAGCTGCATGAAAACTGTGGCGTTTTCGAAATATAATAAACGCAAGGAGCGTCTAATCTGGCCGCAACACTCCGATCGCTATGGCAATGTTTAATGCCTTCAAAATACGATACAACGCAAATTCAAAGTGCATGAAAATGACGACTCACCACAGCACCGAGCTTGATTTTCTGCAACCAGACGGTCCCATCTCGGGGTAATAGGAGACAATGACACCTCAAGTGTGTGGTTTATGTCCAGTCTACTTCGTAATTTTGTTTTCGT